TAGATCAATTATATCAGCGGTGCTTCTCTTTATCTGGCTCCTTTCTCCCGCTGAGAGCTCGGCACAAAGACTCTAATCATCCCAACAAGCTGCTCTCAGGAAGATATCAGAGCAGGGGACAAGAGGGGGGGGGGGGGGGGGGGGGGGGGGGGTAGACTGGGACCCAGCGTTAGACCAGTGCTAATTGGTTTTAATGGAGACACTGCGCTGGGTTTGCTCACAGGGGAAAGCCAAATGCATGCAGTGCCACCATTAAGTAGAATCTATTCTGTTCAAGTACAAACTGCTCCACAGAGAGAGGGCGACACATCAGTAACGTGTGCGACAGGGCGGCGGTTCTTCATCTCTTCAGGGATGTATGTTAATGGTAGGGGTTTCTAGATCTGGGAACAAAAAGGAACAAATTCAAGTACCGTTTGATTCTATGTGTTGATGGTTTCTGTCTGACCGCACCTTAAAGGGGACCTATCATGCAAAATGCACTTTTGTACGTCTTTTCTACTTGAATATGTGTCCCCGGTGTTCCAGGGAACTCACCAAGTGTCAGAAAACACAACCCTCTCTATTTTCCTCCATACCCAAATCTCTAAAAAAGGGGCTGCAACGGATCTGATAAAAACTGATCCAGATTTGAACACTGTCCTGACGTCAGGACGGTGGCGCTACGGCTATTGGGCCAACTCCACCAATCAGGAGGAGACAGCCACGGCCATTGCCGTTCGAAAGCGCTGGAGACGCTGTAGTACATATGCCAGGCCTGTAGGTGGTGCTGTTCTCACAGAATCAGCCCTTGCTAAAACAGAGCTAGAAATTGTCAAATTGAGCAAAATGAGGCATGGCTAAAATGCATGATCTGTTTGGTATTTTGAAAAAAAAAAAAGTATAAATATGCCTTATATAGGTATGGCCCTACACTATATTATTCAGATATAGCATGATAGGTCCCCTTTAAAGGTGTCCAGGAACAATAACCAGACAGTCACGCCGTCAGTACATGGACAGAGCAACCTTTGATCACAGGAAGCATGGACGAGACAGCAAGGAGAGGGAAGGAGAGGATGAGGAGTACGGAAGAGACAACGAGTAGTGGACAAACCTACAAGAATATGAGGAGCGTAGAAAAAGACAAATGAAAAGCGGAAGAAAGACTGCGGAAATAAATAAGAGCATTGTGGAAGAGAGGGCGAAGAAGACATACAAAGCACGAGGATCAACTTTTTAAATGTGTTCCCTTACTTTAATTTGTATTTGAATTGAATGTATTTGTCTATTATCCCTTACGAATATTACGCTAAACAAAACATGTGGAAAGCACGTTATGTTTCATGCTGTTCATGACCTGTGTTCCTGATACACATTTAAATAATAATTATAAAAGTACTTGGTGTGAACGCGCCTAAGGATAGTTGAAGAAAGAACGATCAGCGCAGAAACAGCTTAGGCGAAGGAACAGGATGCACGGACAGAAGGACCCAGGGACACACGCTGTTTTGAAGAGGATGATGCAAAGAGGATCAGTGGGAGAGGAAAGAGGAGAAGGACAAAAGGTGGAGAAAGGAGAGAGGAAGGTGGATCATGACGGGGCGAAAACCCTCCTCCGTCCTCACCTCCTCTGAACCTCGCTCTCTGAATTCCTGCTGCTTCATTCGGCCGATCAGCGCCACGATTTACTGACATTCACTCAGACACATTCCAGTGTGTGTGTGTGTGTGTGTGTGTGTGTGTGTGTGTGTGTGTGTGTGTGTGTGTGTGTGTGTGTGTGAGAGACTCAACAAAGCCTCTGTTCCCACTCCCTCAGTGTGTGTGGGCTCTGGGTTACATTTCAGACGGTGCAGAGTGCTGGAGGAGCGCTTGGTTTCTGGCTGTTAGCACACGGTCGGGGAGACAGAGTGTCCCTGAGAGGAAGAGGAATTTGATCCTCGAAACGAAGCCAATCTGCGTCCCACCACAACCCGCAGAGATTTATATTAACTCTGCATTCAGAAAAACACTGTGAGAAAGTCTCTGCCCCAGATCCATGTTCAGGAACACATCGTGACGAGCAGATCCTCCTCCAACCCAGTCTCACGGCATTTCGTGTTATAGTCACAAAATAAATGTAATCTATTGATTCGTGTTCACCAACACCATTTTCACATTTTTTCCGTCTCACACAGAACGATGAAAAAAGCAATGTATTTCTATTGGTCGTATGTTTCGTGCCTGCAACACGTCTTTTTGTCCGGTCGGGTCGTGGAAGACCGGAAGCTGTGTGGTTCATAAAAACATGTTCTTACTCAATATCAAGCCACGATTATTGTTTTATTTTAAATCATATAATGTCTGACTTTTTTTGCCGTCTGTGAGGAAAAGAAATGTCTCAGAGCCTCAGAAAACTGACATCTTCCTTCTAATTTGTTATTCTTTGGTGCGGGCACGAAACATAGAAATACATTGCTTTTATGAGGAGCACCAAAGAAAAGGATATGTGCAGATAATGAACGATGAGCTTAGAGGAAAGCATGAGGAGTGTGGGAGAAGGAACGATGAGTAGATGAGGACGACCAGCCGCTCTATAGCGTGTCCGCTTACACGAGGAGCAAACTGCTTGTATCTGCATAGTTTCTCGTGCGTATAGCCCTATTATTTACATGAGGCCGATAGAAACTGACCCCACAAATGATAACGGGTCCCAAGGTGGATAGATTTGCAAACGAAGCTCTCTGGGGGGTCAACCGAGTCCGTGTAATCACCTCTATAACGACAGTTCCTGAAAAAATAGATAGCCCCACCTCTCACTCTCCCAAGCCTCTCCCCACCTTCTCCCCGCTCCCCACCTCTCCCTCTCCCCACCTTCTCCCTCCCCCCCATCTCCCCCACCCCTCTCCCTCTCCCCACCAATCTCCCTCTCCCCACCTCTCCCCCACCTCTCCCTCTCCCCACCTCTCCCTACATCCCCACCTCATCCCACCTCTCCCTCTCCCCACCTACTATCCCTCTCCCCACCATCCCCTCCCCCCCTCTCCCAACCTTCTCCCTCTTCCCCCCTCTCCCTCTCCCCACCTCTCCCCACCTCTCCTGGCTCACTGCTGTAGCATGGCCAGTAGCCATCTGTAACGATCAACTATCAAAAATAGCTGTGTTAATTAAACGCACAAGGGGTTCTTGAATGAAATAATATTATAAAAGGCAAACCAGAATTGTTAACGCCCAATATACTCCTTAAACAAAATAAACAGAGTCAGATTTCATGCATTGATCCATTATATTGACAATTTTCCAGCCAAACAACACAAACAAAATTAAACAGTCCGCTCTGCGATACACCAAACGTGTCTTTACTGCCTAATCCAGGCCATTGTTGTTCATTGCTCCTGCGCCCGTCGGCGGCAAAAAGAGAAATGTTTGTAGGCAGAGGACCGGCGTGTCCCAGAGGAGCGATCTCACCCGGTGTTTGTAGAGAATATCTCTCTTTCTGAGCGCGTCCTCTCCACGGAGACGTGCTTCTTGGTCGGTCGATGCAATATCCACAGATTCAGTTTCTTTCAGTTAACTTCCCCGTTGCATTTATCCATATGCTGAGGAAATTACTATATCCCGCTGAATACCAGCAATCGCCACACACTTCCTCCTGTCAGTAGCTACTGCTAGTGCTACTGCTACTGACCATGCTACAGATGTTAGTGTAACATCTACAGCTCCTCTACCACAACCATCAGCAACAAGTGGACATGGAGAATTACATGAACTACATGTTGCTAAATCCACCGCGGGGCATAAACAGAAGGGTAGCCATGGCAACATTGCTGCAGGGCTGCTCCGGGGTCTTCTTCGCTGCTTTTGGTGTATTTTGTGGCGGAAGTTACAGCGCCACTTACAGTCCTGGCATATGTACTACAGCGTGTCGAGCGGTCTCGTTTGAACAGACACGTTAAATGAAACTAATGCATGTGAACGGAAGACTTTTTTGAAAGCACATACTGTGCATAAACGCAAACGTTCCCGTGTGCACAACGCCTCAGAGGAGGTGAAGTGTGTGTGAGCCGGTGTGTGTGAGCCGGTGTGTGGGTGTGAGCCGGTGTGTGAGCCGGTGTGTGTGAGCCGGTGTGTGTGAGCCAGTGTGTGTGAGCCAGTGTGTGTGAGCCGGTGTGTGTGAGCCAGTGTGTGAGCCGGTGTGTGTGAGCCAGTGTGTGAGCCGGTGTGTGTGAGCCGGTGTGTGAGCCGGTGTGTGAGCCGGTGTGTGTGAGCCAGTGTGTGTGAGCCGGTGTGTGTGAGCCAGTGTGTGAGCCGGTGTGTGTGAGCCAGTGTGTGTGAGCCAGTGTGTGAGCCGGTGTGTGTGAGCCAGTGTGTGTGAGCCAGTGTGTGAGCCAGTGTGTGTGAGCCGGTGTGTGTGAGCCAGTGTGTGAGCCGGTGTGTGTGAGCCAGTGTGTGTGAGCCAGTGTGTGTGAGCCAGTGTGTGTGAGCCGGTGTGTGTGAGCCGGTGTGTGTGTCTGAAAGCACTGACATGTGGATCCATGCATCCCAATCGCAGCTATTTTGAATTTGCACAAGTTGGTGCTATGATACAGCATGATAAGAAGAACACGTAACATGCACTTGATTTGGATGTGATTGTGACTGATTCAACACGAATTGAAACACAGTCCTTTCATTATATCTGATCAATATATAGAGTTGTTCCTCTCTTACCACTGTGTTAGCATTGCTTGGAAACCGCTCTGTTGGTCCTTATCTTTGGTTCAGAAGGAAATATCTCAACAACTACTGGAGGGATTGAAGTTTGGTTCAGATAATCATATTCCCCAGAGGATGACTCCTTGTGGTGATCCTCTGACTTTGAATTTAGAGCCAGGTCAAACTTATCCTGAGAAATATCTTAAAACATTTTCTAAATGAGTTGGCAACATGTTGTCCAAATGAACGCTGTGAAATCCTTCCTACCTGTCCCAGCATTAAACCCTCGTTCTCTAACTGATTAACCTTTCTGTGTTTAATCTCCCCTTCCTTCCCTCCCCTTAAAGGTGTCTCCCCGCCCAGCAACACCCCCCTCACTCCCAGCTGTGACTCCCCCGGACTGGGCTGCCCAGGTAGGAACAACAAACACACCTGCATGGGGAACCCTCTCTCCAGCAACTCTGAAAAGAAACACAAAGGCGTAAAAATACTTATTTGATCCACTACCTCGGTTTGATTCAGCACACTAACACAGGTCCAAACCTTTTTCCACCGAGGGCCACACACAGAAAGACATTCAAAGGTCTGGCCGCTCACTCGAGGTTTATCGCCTCATAGGTTATAAGTCAGCAAAATCTATCAAATGCAGGTAAGTTATGCTTGATAGTTGAGAATGCTTTAAGAAACACACAGCTCACAGCTCTCCAGAGGGTTCACTGTATTCTGTTGGCAGCTCATTCCTTAAAACAGAAACTTCAGATTGATGATCAAAAAGAGGAAATATGAAGGGTCTATTTCAAGCTTGTTATGTAATTAAGTTATTGTTTTTTTTTTAATCATCTACGATTTGTTTGACATTTTTTCCAACTTGAATTGACAGTTGCTCTGAAAAGTGGGCTGTGTAATATATGTTACATTTGTATTTAAGAAGTACAATATATGACAAGCACAAGTTCATTTATGGGCCATATGTCATTATACTTTTTGAATTAGCTGAGGGCCGATTCAAAATGGCCTGCGGGCCGCATTTGGTCCCCAGGCCGCAGTTTGGACACCTCTGCTCTAATATAAGATAAGATAAGAGATACTTTAGTGAGCTCAAATGGGGAAATGTTTGCAGCAGCATCAAAAGCAAAACAAGGCATTGCACATAAGAAATAAACAAGACTAGAATTTAAAGCAGGATATTATTTACATTAAGTGTTGAATTAAATATAAATGTGAAATGTACGGTGTGTGAAGTTATCCAAAGAGAAGCAGTGAGTTCTCTGCCAGCCAGTTTTCTCTTATCCGTTTGATCTGTGACGAACTTAGAAACCAAATCAGATCACGATGGATTAGATATCCAGGTTCATTCCAGGTTAATGTGTTTTCAGAATCAAGCCTAGTTCTTTATATCACATTGAAACTGCAGATATATGTAACCTTAATGTCTTAGATCTGGAACAATGAGAAGAAATATCTATTTTCTACTTATTTCTGGTCCTTTTTGTCAAGTGAAACCTATTAAGACTTCCCATTGGACGACAGGTAACGCCCTGGAGACATTGTGTTGGGATGGGTTTCCTTTATATGAGCCTTTTTAAGGAAGTCCCCCCAAAGGTCCCGAGAATACAACTGATGCTATTATCGAATATGATTTGATCAAATGCACAAAACGATTGTCCGTTTGTCCTTTTCTCTTAAATGTGATATCTCAGGAACACCTTTCTGATCTTTCCTTGTAAATTGTTATTATGTGGTGCAGGCACGAAACATACTACCAATAGAAATACATTGCTTTTAAAATCGTTCTGTGTGAACACGAATCAATAGATTACATTTCGTGACTATAACACGAAATGCCGTGAGACTGGGTCGGAGCTGTCGAACGCCTCTAGCTATTCCTCAGAGAACACGTTGGCTCTGTCAGCGCCATGTTCTCTAAACGACCCCCCTGTGTCCTGAGGGGAATGTGAGGGAACAAACCACAGAACCTTTTGACTGAACAAAGCTCCCAGGGGTGGGCCCTTCAGCCACTTTCCATCCAGCCAGAACCATTAGAGCCGGAGCGGTGAGTCCTGACCCAAAGGAGACCTCAGTCCAGCTCCTTTAACCCCAGGAGGTCACATGATCTGGAACGTACCATTATCAGGGGGTCAGAACAGTAGCTGACCGGACCCCACTCTCTAAATGTCAGTTCTCACACTGTCCTGGGCTACCGGGGCCTCAGAGGGACATTTTTCTAAAAGGTCAGTGTTTACAGCTCATGAGAGGAAGGGAGTCGAGCCAATAGGAGTCCAGCGTGTGTCCCAGAATATAAACGACTGCACTGGAAAAAATGCTGCTCCAAAAACAAGTTAAATAATAATGAAAACAAGCTGTTTTCACTTGAAATAAGTCCAAAGATCTGCCAACAGAACAAATGAACATTAGCTTGGTGAGATTTCTTGAACTAAGAATGGATATTCAGATAAATCACATCTTGTGATTAGCAGGAGAACTCATTTTGAACTATCTCACCAGAATCAGGAGATGTTGTTAGATTATAATCAGCAAATGCTCAAAAGTGTTCTGTGTTCTGATTGGTTGGTGATTTTCTAATAAATATGTAAAGAAATATGTGTTTCATCTGAGATACAACTCAAAATAAGATGTTTTGACTTAACAAGATGAAGCATTGTCTAAAAACAAGACCTGATATCTCTCTGCAGTGTCACTTCTGAAGTTATCATGTCTCATATCAGGTGGAGAGATATATTCTGACTAGATATTAGACACAGATGCTGGGCAGGATCTAGAGTTGTTGTGGTGTGGGCAGGCCTCTCACTGGGTTCTACGTTAATATCCTGGAAATACACCGAGTTATATAAAGAGCACGTTCAGCGCAGGAGAGAAACCACTGTCTTTGTATTGATCGCCAGGCTTTGTGTCCCCCCCGCTGAGAGCAGGTGTGCCTCAGCAAACAAAGCCTCAGGAAAATTCAATCATCTCTGAATGGGAAGGCGTTAAAATCAAGCAGGACCACCGGGAGGTTCTGATGGAGGAAAAAAAGGACCTCATTTTCAGACAAATTAATCTTTGAAGCTCGTAGGTCAGCTGTTCTGTTCCTGCTTTTGGATACTACTAGAAAAAGTGATTATTAACAGAAGCATTATTTATTAGCCCGTCGCTGTCGTTGAAACCCCTCAGTTTTGGGGCGTACCTGATTATTGACAGAACTCCTCAGGACTTACAGATCTCTCACAGGTACACTTCACGGTCGTGGTTGACATTATTATAAACTAGAGTTCAGGTCTGATCAGGTGTCAGTAGTTGAAATAGTGGTTGCATATTGAGTGTCGAGTCGAAGATGAGAATTTAGGACCAGATCCGTCTTTGCTAAGTTAGCGTAGCGTTGTCTTTCGGTTGGTTTTCTGTCCAGGCACTGACTGAGGTTTGTCTCACTGGGATGTTGGTGTGTTTGGAAGAGGATTAGAGTCACATGTTAACGCTTTATTTTTAGATCTGATCTTTTGAGTTCTGAGAAAAAAGTCAAGGCAGAATTCTGACTTTATTCTCACAATTCTTGGATTCAGACTTTTTCTCTGAATCCCTTTTTTTTATCAGATTCTGACTTTGTTTGCTTCTTAGAATTTTGACTTTTCACAGATTTAATCTCAGAACTTTTGGCGGTAATCAATCAACCAATCAATCACTTGGTAACCAACGTCTCAGATTCCCGCAGTTTGTTCAGAAACAGATGCAGTGTACTGGAAAACATGCTGCTCCAAAAACAAGTAAATATATAATAAAAACAAGGTGTTTTCGCTTTTAACCTGTTAAACCCCACGGACCCGCCGAAGGGTCCGAAAATGCTACATCTGCTAGCAGCAGTGGGATCTCTGAAGTGTCATTTATGAAACTATTAATGTTCCACACCCAGCTGACGGGAAGAAACTCAGCTAACTGACTATGAAAAAAATAATAATAATAATTCCCACAAGAAGCCTTTCAATGAGCCCTTAGCAAATACGGACTAATGCTATTTCTGCTCATAACTCACAAAAAAGTATCATTTATAATTATACTTTCTGCACAAACAACACATCATCTGAAAGCTGAGATTCCACAGATTCCATTGGCATAGGTCTCATCACTGCACGGCCAGAACTCACTGAGCTAGCAGCCAGAACATAGCAAATAAACAACATCAGTTTTCAAATCCATGGCAGGTTACATTTTACAATAATTTTTTTTTTTTTTTTTTTCTTTTTTTTATGGAATGAATAACTATAGTGATGATTCAATGTTATAAAATGATTTTTACAGTCTGGTACCTGAAAAAGGTCAAATGGCACTGATGGAACCAGATGTGCCCAAATGTGCCCAAAGCTTATTCCGCCTGGACCTTTTTTCCCTAAATCTCTCTAAAAAGGTCAATTTTCACTTGTTTTGCCTCAATCTTGATATAGGGTACTTATTATATGTTATACTTTGGATTCCTAAAGCTTTTAGGCTACTAACCCATCATTCAAGGGTGGTTTTCACTATAAGTAATGGTTTGTTAGGCGGAGGTAAGAATTTACACTTTTTTACTATGTTCCATCTGAATTCACTCTGACACAGAAACATCTATATTGATTCTGACACGTCTACATCCATCTCACAGATGTAGCCTTGCTTTGAGAAAAAAGATTATTAATTTAACCCTTTTAGAAGTGAAGTTATAGTCATTTGTTCTGGGCATGTCATTTTCTAGCCTGAAACCTGAAAAACAGGCTTGGGGTCTAACAAGTGAACAAATCTGCCGATAGCACAAGTACAACATGGCTTGGTGAGATTTCTTGAAGTAAAGATGCGATAATTAGAAAAATGACATCTTGTATTTAGCTGGAAAAACTTATTTTGAACTATATTTGACCAGAATCAGGGAATTTGTAACAAGAAAAGCCAGAAATGCTTCAGACGCTTTCTGTTCTCTGATGTTAGTGGAGATGTTAGTGGAGATGTTAGCTGGAGATGTTCCTCTAAAATAAGATGTTTTTAAGAGACTTGGACTTAAAAAGATGCTTAAGATGCCTTGTCTAAAAACAAGACTTAAGTTATTAAGTTTTATATCAGGTGTAACGACATATTCTGACTAGACATTAGACAAATATACTGGGCAAGATGTTCCATGTTTGCAGTGTGTCCCGTGTGTTATTGGTCGCTCCCAAAGTCAGAAAGTCAAAGACCCGAGAGCTGCACCAACAAGTCCCCCAGTCCTCATGTGGTGTTGATGTTCACTCCTGACTTCATGTTGACACTGCGAAGAGTTGCTATTGGTTCCCGAGTGTTTTCCACGCCGTTAATCATGATCTGATCCTGCAGCTTCTCCACCATCATCATCATCATCATCTTCTGCATCTTTCTCTCCCCTCCCGACCCCCCAGCCCAATCCACTGACTCCACTAACACCATCCATGCTACTAATGCCATCACCCACGGTAAGCATCCTCTTCCTCCTCCATCTCCTTCTTCATCATCTGTAGCTTCTCACGCCTCTTTTCTTCTTCGTTTCACTCCACCACGTCAGTCCTGTTGCTTTTCCTCACCCTGTTATTTCTCCTCCGACTCGTTCCTCCCCGTTAAATAGACATCTATTTGATGGTTTATCTTTTGAATTACTCATTTTTGCCTCGTCTTCAGTACATTTAAAATGAATGTGTGGGCTCCTCTAGTATCTAAAAGGTAGACGTTTCCAAGGATGTCATTTACAGTTAAACACAATTATCCTTAATGAGTTCTTGCACGTAAAAACCTGAAGTTGTGCTTCGTTTGCCCTTTTTTCAAGGACCTGTGAAAAATAGCTCAGAGCTATTTCACAAAAGTAAAACCTCTCTATTATTCATTTTCTACCTCAGCTAATCGCGTCGTGATGAATTAGTCCAGAGTTCGGACTGAGACTTGATAAACATTATCTACCCCTGCATTTCATGAGCTAATTAACCTTTCCATCATTCTTATTTCCATCCAGGAAGTAGGAATTGCAAATGGATGTTCCCACAATCTTATGAGAATCAGCTCTCGTTCTTTGATTAGGGTAATAAGGGTTTTTAGTTCTAACAAAGGACTGGAATTGAAATTGGTAGCGAAAGATGAGAACACCTTTAATTTGCACAAGAGCGTTGGATGTCTTAAAGGTGGGGTAGGTAAGTTTGAGAAACCGGCTCCAGATACACTTGTTGTTATATTCCATGGAATGCTCTTAACATCCTGATAGCAATGAATATCTGAAGTGCTTTGACAAAAAATCCATAAATAAATATCATCTGTGGAAGCTGTAGTACTGTAAAAAGCACGACCAATCATCTGAGCCGGCCCGGCTAAAATAACTGGATGGCCTACCTGCCTGTCAGCCTTCCATCTGTGCACAAACTTATCTCGTGCCCTCATTGGTCATGTGTGCGTTCGTGTGTGTTGGAGGAGGGGCTCTGTGAGGAAGTGGCAGATTTTCTCCGGTTGTGTATTTTCAAATTCTAGCGATCTCGAGCTGGTTTCTCCAAACTTACCTACCCCACCTTTAAAGAGTTTTTTTAGGGGTTTTCCTTTCCCTGCAGTGGGTTGTTAGTGCATGTAAATGGTCTGCAAAGGCTCAAATCCCTGTGTTCCCTCCAGAAGGAGTTTAAATACTAATGTCAACCTGAAAATGAGCAGAATAGAGCCCCTCAAGTGTCAAGGTTTACGCCCAAAACGAGCGCTATGAAGTGATGTCGGCTTTACTGTAAACCCATTCTGTGTGTGGTCCGTCTGGTTCCTATGATTTGTGATCTCCAGTTCCCTCTCCCATCACTACATCTCCATCCACCATCCTCACCACTAGCATGCCACTAACCCCAACCATCATTACCACCTCCTCCACCACCTCCACCACCTCCTCCACCACCTCCTCCTCCTCCACCTCCTCCAGCTCCTCCACCACCTCCTCTGGTAAGGCTTCATCTGCTTCACTAACTGAACATACCAGGCAAATCTTTCCAAAGTGGATTCAAGTATTACAATTGGTGCATAAACTCCTTCTGAAAAAGCCGGTGAGCCACTCCAAGAAGACGGCTATTTTCACCGATGTCTTGGAAATGTAATTTTTAGCCATAAAATCTCTTTCCCTTGCCCCGTTTAAATCATCTTGGTGTCAAATCATACATGTTGTACCACTAAGAAATCAAATGTAGACATCAGGAATAACTCAGAAGCTACTTTTTACCATATCTACCCAAGCCGATCAATATAACCAGCCAATGGGAAACTGGGTAGCCTAATATGCATTTTAGTTGAGGGGGTGGAGGTTGTTTGGGGCGTAGTAGAGGTAGTGCTTCTGCAGCACAGACACACTGGTGACATCATGGTATTGTTAGATAACTCATGTTACATAGAAGACTAGTTTTAGTATTAGTATGGAGGCTAACGGACTAATTGTCCCCAGAGGGATGAACATGGACATTTTGCTGCTTGAACCTACCTTTGAAAGATTGTCTGCAGCGCTGATGTTAGTTTTCCACGAGCATCTCTGGACTCTCCATGCTGAGGTGGAGGAAGATGCTTTTCATTGAATACTTTGGTCTTAAAATACTCAAGTGCAGGTAAAAGTTCTGAATTCAAATGTTACTTAAGTAGTAGTACAGAAGAATGATCAGTCAAATATACAAGTATTATAGAAGTACTTATTATTATCCTATTCATTTAGTGTTATTATACTAAACTTGGTGGATTAGAAGATAAGTACTCAGATATTGTACTTGAGTAAAAGTAGAAGTACTCAGATTTTGTACTTGAGTAATAGTAGAAGTACTCAGATCTTGTACTTGAGTAAAAGTAGAAGTACTCAGATATTGTACTTGAGTAAAAGTAGAAGTACTCAGACCTTGTACTTGAGTAAAAGTAGAAGTACTCATATCTTGTACTTGAGTAAAAGTAGAAGTACTCATATCTTGTACTTGAGTAAAAGTAGAAGTACTCAGATCTTGTACTTGAGTAAAAGTAGAAGTACTCATATCTTGTACTTGAGTAAAAGTAGAAGTACTCAGATCTTGTACTTGAGTAAAAGTAGAAGTACTCATATCTTGTACTTGAGTAAAAGTAGAAGTACTCATATCTTGTACTTGAGTAAAAGTAGAAGTACTCAGATCTTGTACTTGAGTAAAAGTAGAAGTACTCAGATCTTGTACTTGAGTAAAAGTAGAAGTACTCATATCTTGTACTTGAGTAAAAGTAGAAGTACTCATATCTTGTACTTGAGTAAAAGTAGAAGTACTCATATCTTGTACTTGAGTAAAAGTACTCAGATCTTGTACTTGAGTAAAAGTAGAAGTACTCAGATCTTGTACTTGAGTAAAAGTAGAAGTACTCAGATCTTGTACTTGAGTAAAAGTAGAAGTACTCATATCTTGTACTTGAGTAAAAGTAGAAGTACTCAGATATTGTACTTGAGTAAAAGTAGAAGTACTCAGACCTTGTACTTGAGTAAAAGTAGAAGTACTCAGATTTTGTACTTGAGTAAAAGTAGAAGTACTCAGATCTTGTACTTGAGTAAAAGTAGAAGTACTCAGATCTTGTACTTGAGTCAAAGTAGAATTTTTTTAATCTTTTAAGAATATATATTTATTTTTGTATTATAATGTTGGCACACTCGTCTCAGTTGACTCGACTAAGTGTAATTTATTATGTAAAAAATGTGTCTCTGTGCCAAAAACAAAGAAGCGTTGAATTAGATCGACTCCGAGATGCTCCCGGGAAACTAGGGTTTGTGCCCCTAATGTCAAAAAGGCTTGATCTACTTCCTGACATTGGTCCTGAAACCAGACAGAACAGGAGCGTGTCCCTTTAACACAGTGTGCTTCTTTGTTTTCTGACATGCTGACTTATTGTGCTAACCAGTAATACCAACCACTGCCACCACCGTCACCATCAGCGCTGCCACTAACGCTTCAGCCAGCAGCACCACAACTGGTAAGGTAGCTAACAAAATCCTGTCGCTAGCCAACATCTAAACACATACTCAATATCATTTAAAAACTATATTTCTGCCTACCCATTTGTATTTCCTTTGCATGTTTTTGTGGTGTTGAGAAAGAGCAATTAAGAAAATTGAATTAATTAATGTATGTCACCTTTTCAAGCTAGCCTTACAGTTAGCGGCACGCCACATGGTCAGGAAGCTAACAAAATCCTGTCACTAGCCAACAACACATTCATAACTCAATATCATGTTTAAACAATAGTTCTGCCATACCTATTTGTATTTCCTGTGTGGTGTTGAGAAAGAGAAATTAAGAAACTGGACCTTACAGTTAGCCTATACCATGTTAGCTCCCCAGTAGCAGCATGCCACATGGTCAGGAAGCTAACAAAATCCTGTCGCTAGCCAACATCTAGAACACATTCATAACTCAATATTTCCTTTGCATATTCTTACCGTGTTGAGAAAGAGAAATTAAGAAAATTGAATGAATTAAAAGCTGGTATACAGGTACGTCAACTTTTCAAGCTAGCCTTACAGTTAGCCTCTGTCCCGCTAGCTTCTCGGTAGCAGCACGCCACATGGTCAGGAAGCTAACTAAATCCTGTAGCTAATTACGTGAGACAATGCTCTGTTTTCCCCTTTTAGAAGTGTGGTCATTTGTTCTGGAAATGTCATTTTCGAGCCTGAGACCTGAAAAACAGGCTTGGGGCTTAACAGGTTAACAACTCATACAATTACTCATTTGTATTTTTCCCGCATATTATTGTGGTGTTGAGAAAGATTTTTAGGATAATTTCCCTTTATTTAACAGACATGTAATAATTTGTAAGCTGCCGTGATGCTTTTCCATAACTTTGCATAAATCTACATGTCAAACTAGTTGAACTATTTTAGGTCCCCCGAACGTGGATGTGTTTTTTAGACTTTTGTCCCAACAAATAGGTGTGTTTCTACTTTGAGTTTCCCTCAAAAGAGCTGTATTTCTAGCTTGTAATCTCCATGACGTAGCTATGATTTAAGGGGTTGAAGTCACTAGAATATTGACATGTTTTAAGACTAGTGTCCCCGTAGTGTCATCGTGTTTTTTAGGTAAATGTCTCCAGGGTTTAGCTGTGTTCCTACGATGTTTGGTGTGACAACCTGCTCTCAGCTTGGTGCATATTGTACCTACAGCTTATGTCGACTAACCTGACTGATATTCTGTGATTGTTTACTCTCCCTTGTAGCCCTGCAGACAACCAGCAGCACAACAACTGCTTCATCTGCTCCCACTAACCTCCCAGCTACTAACCCCACAACGCATGGTAAGAGCCCCAATACTGGAGAGACGCTACGGCTAACACGGACCAGCTTTACATTCAAATGCTGCTGCTACCAATGCATGCAATGGTACTACAAACGACTCATTTCTACGGTCGCTAACAAGCCGTGTAAATTACGAACGCTCTGTATGTAACTGCCCTCAGCTGTGGAAAAACAGTCCTTACAAAGCCAAGAAGCGAGAGAAAAAAGATGAATAAATCCCCAGAAATGCAGTTAATTTCCCATCCTTGTTAAAACATTATGGGTCCTCATGGATCTGATGGTTGAACATTAAACATGATGTAAGAAGTTCCTCAGCAAATTGCTATTTTTCAAAGAATATTAAAGCCCTTGTTAGTGATTGAAAGGACTTTTATGAATGATAATATTTAGCCTGATAAATCAACCTTATAAATACTAGCAATAAGGTGTGTAATGAGGCCTTAACAAACTACATTTGTATTTATTGATTGAGATATTTACTCAGTTATTTATAAATGAAATGAAATACCGGTGAAAATACACAGAAAGCGTCAGAGAAAGTTGATAAACGTTGAATGTGTTATGTTTATTTATATTTGATGCAATGACTGAACATTCATAGGTTTTCAAAATTGTTGTTCATTTTTCCTTCTATGCAACGAGGTTGTAACTTTGATCAGGAATGACTTTGGTTTGTTAGAAAGCCTGGCTTCACTAGTTTTCTCATGTTTTCATAATGCTAATCACACTCCTGACATCAATGATTTCCTTACTTGATTTTCTGTCTGCAGACAAAGACTCTGTTTGTTTGGATGATTGAGAAAAATCTACATGTAGATTAGTTGTGATTTCTTTAAACACTTTTACATCTCTTTGCTTTCTACTGATTAATTCAATCTCCAAAACACTCAAACTAAAACCGTCAAAATCCAATATTAAAATGCAATCATGCCTTATTTCTCCTCCTGTCCTCGACCATCTTTTGGCCTCCTCCTTTCTCCCCTCTCTGGTTTCCTCTCAACAAACAGTCGCTGCCACGACGCCTCTGCTGCTTTTAGTGACTACTAACCATCCAGCCACTAACCCATCAGTCGCTGCTGCTTCCTCCGGGGGTAAGACACACACCGGCACGCTTATTACCACAACCTAGGTCTTAAAGGTCACATATTATGCTATATTTGAACAATATATTATAACGCCATACAGTATCTATACAAAACATGTCTCTGAAGTGTCCTGCTCCAGACCCCAAACAGATCCTTGTAGCCCCCCCCCCCCCTCTCTCTTCCAGCTGTTACTAAGGACATGTCTCTGAAGTGTCCTGCTCCAAACCCCAAACAGATCCTTGTAGCCCCCCCCCCCCCCTCTCTCTTCCAGCTGTTACTAAGGACATGTCTCTGAAGTGTCCTGCTCCAAACCCCAAACAGATCCTTGTAGCCCCCCCCCCCCCCTCTCTCTTCCAGCTGTTACTAAGGACATGTCTCTGAAGTGTCCTGCTCCAAACCCCAAACAGATCCTTGTAGCCCCCCCCCCCCCCTCTTCCAGCTGTTACTAAGGACATGTCTCTGAAGTGTCCTGCTCCAAACCCCAAACAGATCCTTGTAGCCCCCCCCCCCCCCTCTCTCTTCCAGCTGTTACTAAGGACATGTCTCTGAAGTGTCCTGCTCCAAACCCCAAACAGATCCTTGTAGCCCCCCCCCCCCCCCCTCTCTTCCAGCTGTTACTAAGGACATGTCTCTGAAGTGTCCTGCTCCAAACCCCAAACAGATCCTTGTAGCCCCCCCCCCCCCTCTCTCCCAGCTGTTACTAAGGACATGTCTCTGAAGTGTCCTGCTCCAAACCCCAAACTGATCCTTGTAGCCCCCCCCCCCCTCTCTCCCAGCTGTTACTAAAGAGCTGACTCTGGGTCAGTAGCTTCAGAGAGAGAGTAGATCTCATCAGGAGAACTCTCCCAGCAGAAACTCAGCTAAATGCTGCCGTGACTAAACTCCATATCATGTTCCAAACCACATGAAGGATTCTCTCTGAAACAGTATGGAGCTCAAACTCTTTCTCTCTCTCAGGTTTACCACAAGGTGACTTCCTTTTGATTTCCTGCTTCTTCACACATGCTCTCTCCAGTACAGGTTAGCTCTGAGTGTTAGCATGCTAATGTAAACACAGACCATATTACGTCCAGAACACGTCTCATTGTTTCTGACAGCAACGTTTCTGATTGGCCCGTGGGTGTAAAGTAGGGATGCCAGCGATTATTCGATTATTCGATTATTCGTTACAGTCTCCATAATCGAATATTATTTTTAAAAATCGATTTTATTAATATATTTTTTTATTAATATTTATGTTTTTCTTTTTTTTCCTGGTTTGGTTTCAACCAAAATATAGACTAATGCTAATAATAGTAATAGTATTAATAATTGTAAATGACCATTGATCACACCACCAGTTTGTTTTACTGTAAACTTGGAGGAAGCCAGCAGCGCAGAGTGCTGCAGCCTGCTACACACCGACCCCGCCCCTCCCCTCTCCGTCGTGGAAGGAGGCGGTTTCCTTGAGTTTATGGCAAACGTGGAACCAGATTACAGGGGGGGCGATTAATCGATTAATATTCGCCAGGGCTGTCCGATCTTCGATTTTGGTCATGGTCAGTTTCTGGCATCCCTAGTGTAAAGCCCGCCCACATTTTAGTAATGTGGTCATGACGCAGCAAATCTGGATCAGCTCCGTTGTTCCCCCGTTTTTAGAGATGTGGGTACGGAGGAAAAGAGAGAGGGGTTTATTTCCTGACACTTTGTGAGTCTCCTGACACACCGGGGACACACCGGGGACACACCGGGGACACACGGGGGACACACCGGGGACACACCGGGGACACACGGGGGACACACGGGGGACACACGGGGGACACACCGGGGAGGACACACCGGGGACACACCGGGGACACACGGGGGACACACCGGGGACACACCGGGGATACACCGGGACACACCGGGGACACACGGGGGACACCGGGGACACATAGTGATGTAGAGAAGACATCACTTTGTGAGTCTCCTGACACACCGGGGACACACGGGGGACACACGGGGGACACACCGGGGACACACCGGGGACACACGGGGGACACACGGGGGACACACGGGGGACACACCGGGGAGGACACACCGGGGACACACCGGGGACACACGGGGGACACACCGGGGACACACCGGGGATACACCGGGACACACCGGGGACACACGGGGGACACCGGGGACACATAGTGATGTAGAGAAGACATCACTTTGTGAGTCTCCTGACACACCGGGGACACACGGGGGACACACCGGGGACACACCGGGGACACACGGGGGACACACCGGGGAGGACACACCGGGGACACACCGGGGACACACGGGGGACACACGGGGGACACACCGGGGACACACCGGGGACACACCGGGGACACACGGGGGACACACCGGGGACACACGGGGGACACACGGGGGACACATGGTGATGTAGAGAAGACATCAGAAAGTGCATCTTGCATGATAGGAGACCTTTAACACTCGCTTATCATTTGGTCTAGATATTTTTCTTACTTCTTTCCACTTGTTTTCCAGTTAGAAAATCCTAATCTTTGCTATCTTTTAAGAGTTGATTAATCTAATGATTGCTGGCTGTTCCACATTTATATTCTTCGCAGCCAGTTTCCTGCTGCTGGTGATCCTGATATTTTACTAGGTCTATCATATTTGTCTTCATCTCATTCGAGCCTTTGCATCAAATCTCTGTGCTTCAGTTTCATTATGATCAGGGTGTATGGTGGCCAACACGTGCAAACGCTTTACAACGGCTTCACTTTCATGTGTTTTGGAACATTTGTGTTTTTATATTTGAGTGTTTCTCCGAGTGGAAATGTTTTGCACCTGTCGGCCACCGTAGGGGGTCCTGTCAAAGTTGCTGAGGTATTAACTAACAACAATAATTCACAAATGTTGTTGAAAAAGCAAAAACTCTTCTGGCTTTCCTCTCAAATGAAAATGATATTTTACTTTTCTATTATTTACACCTGCCTCTTTTTGGGCCTCTTTCTTAAAACATGTCTTTCTTTTAAGAGAATCACAAATATAAATGTCATAAAGGTACAATGACCTCCACCTGACACTGATGTAAAGGTTTCAGGTCGTTCCTAATAGTTGTGTTTACTTCTACTTTGTTTATTACTTGAAAACATTGCTTTTGTTTATTGTCTGTAACCTGCTCTTTCATTATGATGGCGTCTGGTTTGATGACAGTGAAGGAGTCTCCAGTGAGATCATCCCAGTCCTCCCGACCCAAGCCTCTTCTCCCAGCCGCTCCAAACAGAAGGCGTCGGCATATGTTTGGATTAACCACTGCAGGATCTTCCATTCCTCATGCACCAAGACCCCCATCTCCTCGGGTCCTTGCATCCAGACCTCCAGCCCCGGCCCCGACTCTCCCAGATAAAGCGTCTTTAGCCGCCAGATTCTTAGCCCTGACTCGGGGACCTCCACCTCCGCCTGAAACCCCTCGACCAAGACCTCCACGCTTCCTCCCACGGCCCCGAAACCATCGCAGCTCCAAGACCTCTCTGGGGTTCATCTCCACGCCTCTGATCTGGGAGGGCAGGAAGAGGCCGGCTGGAGGCAGACGCCCGGCTTCACCCAGAACACCCCGGCCAGAGGTTCACATCACAAAATCTGCTCAACCAACCGGACTCAAACCCACACAGAGGCGTGCGACACATGCACCCGCGTTGAAAAACACAACTACTGCACGCTTGCCGCTTACATCACAACCACATGAGGAAACTCCTACACCTCCTCATCGACCCCCTCCTGAACCAGTTCTGTCTCAGGAGTCGTCTCCTGATGAGGGCAGAGATACATCGTCTTCACTGCTGTCCTCATCCTCGGTTCTGAGCAACAGGAAGAACAAACCCGCGGCGCCGCAGTGGTCGTTGCTGATCGGGCGGGAAACTCAAACGCTCGATGAGTTCCCGTCGGGGTCAGAGGTGTTTGCGTACGAGCTTCCAGAGAACGCGGACGCTTTCAACTTGTATGAGTTTGACGCTGCGTACGCTTTGGACGAACCTGCCACCGTCCCTCCAGCTGTCATCGACCCAAAGTCCTTCAACAGATCGGACCATCGTGGTGCTTCACTTCCTGCTGCACACCCTTTAACTGTTTCTGAAGGAGGAGGCGTTCACAACCGCTCGGAAAGCCCAGTGAGTGTTTTAGCAGCAGGGAGTGAGCTTTCTCTCAGCCGCTCACAAGATGGATTGATGCCAGAAGCAGAAGCTGTCATCAGCAGGTCTCTGACAGCTCAAACAAAGCACTCTCACTCTAGTGGGCTAAAGCAAGAGGACATGTCCTACACACAAACCTTCACTGAACAACCAACACCACCCCTTCCTCTTCCCCCCCTGTCATCGCTCCACTTCACACAGACTTTGTTACCGATGTCAGGACGGAGCTCTTCTCTGATTTCCCCAAAGCAGATCTTCTCTTCTTCGGTGCGTCAGAATAAAAACATGGCTGATATACCCTCCTCTTGTGTGTATGAAACAGACATAACTAGAAGTCCGGACTCTCGACTGATTAACAATTTAAACACACAGACAGACATATCTGCCACTCCTCAAAGACCCTTTCATTTCTCCTCCACTTCTGCTCTAACCAAAACCGTCTCTTCGGACATGTTTCCATCCCCTCTCCACGCCCTCTCCTCCAGAACTCTCCCAACCCCTCCACTTCCCTTTTTCTCAGCATCTACTTCCTTTACTAATACCCTAACCCCTACCCGGTCCTCTCCTCCCTTCTGGTCCTCTCCCAGTCCTCTACTCTCCTCTCCTGTCCTCCCCTCCTCTTCCCAACGAAGGCTTTCAGAAACAGACGCTGTTGTTGAATCTGCTCACACACAGCCGGACGAAGGCAGCGGATACCTTCAGCCTCGTCTGTCGTCGCTTCTTTCTCTGTCGACGAGGGTTGACACGGCGTCCTCTTTGTCACTTCCTGTCTTTTCTAAAGCCGTGTCCGTCCCGCAGATTGTTGATGATGCACTGCTCCCTGAATACCACTCGTCTAAAGAGTCCACTAACGATACATCAGAAGCTGTTAGGAGTCGGTCGCCCAACTCTGAGAGCAATCGGACGCTTGATACGCAATCAGGTTCGTTTGTTCAGTCAGTTGGGACATTTCTAGAGTCATCCTTTAGTCAAACTCCTTCAGGGTTATACATGGAGAACATTGCATCAAGCTCTGCTGTATTTACATCAGATTTAGAACCATTGGGTTCCTCAATGATTTTGTGGCCTTCAGCCAGCCTGTCAGTTCATTCAGATCAGAGAGATTTGAGCGATATATATTCACCAGAAGAGTCGCATCAGCCTCACGTTGTCTTTACCTCTCAGACAGCAGCTCTCACCCGGGCCTCTGAACGCACCCTGACTCTGCTGCAGGGAAATATTGAAACAATGCCAATTATACACTCTGCTTCTGTGACTTCAAATCGCATCCTTTCAACCGGGAGTCTCCTTTCAACCGGGAGTCTCCTTTCCCATCCCGTTGACAAGCTGTCGCTCACTGCACCTTCAGAGGCTCGTGCTGCTGCCACACTGATGCTGTCTGTAGTAGAGAGAGAGCCTTTTCTCGTGGCTCAGACGTCTCCATCAGGGTCACAGAACAAAGACACTTCCAGCCTGACCTCTAGCAGAGACCCATGGAGGCTGCAGCACACAATCTCACATTTGCAAATGAACACTAACACCTCTCACAGTGAGCACAGTGACACCTTTAATCACCCCACACCCCCTTTGTTATTTCCACCCGTCACAGCGCAGGCGCAGCACGGCAGCACCAGTGCACTGATTATCACCGCGGCCCCCGAGCACGCTTCAGGGCTGGATTATACTCACCGCTCAACCTCGACACATCCGAACACTGAACACCCAGACCGTGGGACGCACACACACCCTGACATGCACACACACCCTGACATGCACACACACCCTGACATGCACACACACCCTGACATGCACACACACCCTGACGCTCGCCACAGCATGTTTCTGAATGCGAGTGTGAAACGTGCTCACAATGCAGAGGTTGGAGGGCAATCATCCCTCTCTCTTCCCCTCGCAGAAACTCTCACACCTTCTTTTCTCTCTCTTCAACTTTCTATTCCTTTTGGCAAAGCCTCCCTCCCCCTCTCCCCCACCATCACCCCTTCCCTCTCTCCTCTCCTCTCATTACAATCACTGTCTGCCAGCACAGCAGAGGCAGAAATGATCGCATTGTCGCCAAATTGGCCGACCGCTGGATCCCACCAGCCCACGCCCCCCCGACCCCCCCCCGGACGGGTTATTACAGACCCTCTCACACCCAGCACAGCCAGTCACACTCCCTCTTCGCCACGCTCTCACACTCACTCAAGACAAATTCAAATCAAGCCACGCTTTTATTTCTGCCGGAGAGAATGATAAAGAGGACTTTGTGCCACCACGTGCAAACCGCTCACACACAGCGAACGCCTCTCGGTCTGTGGACGATCCGGCCTCATCGTCTGACGCCTCACGTCACCTGTGGCATCTGTCTGCTTCCTTTGACCCGGCGGACGTTGTTCCAAAGATACACATTGCAGATGATGATGATGATGATGATGATGATGATGATGATGATGATGATGATGATTCTTCCCCCCATGATGGTGTAACTCTGGATGTAAATGCTTCCCTTAACACTCAATCGTTTCCTGCTGATATGCAAACGACCTCTCCAAGCCCCGGCGCCACAGACTCCAAACAGCCCATCAATGCTCCTGTTGTTCTGAACCCTCTCCACACTTCTGGACTCAACCTCCCCTCCTACCTTCCAGCCTCCAGATCCCCCAATCTCTCCTCTATCCACGGCCCAGGTCAAGGCCTCATTGCTGGGCTTGAGGGGCCCACACCTCCTGGGAGGGCCTCCCACACAGCAGGCCTTAAAAACAACGCCATGTCAAATGCAACAACTGCTCTAACGATCAAAGACTCGCCTTCAGTGCCAATTAAAACGACAAACACCACCGAGGCTGATAAGGCTACAACCCTAATTGGAAATGTAGATGTGGAAGAATCTCCGGGGAACATGACAGGCAGCAAACAAACAGCAGGGGATGCAAGCACGTCGACAAAGTCAAACGTAACAGTTTCAAAACCCAGTTTGAACCCAAGTGTGTCTGATCAGCACTCAGGAGAAGATGTCCTTCCTTCCCCTCCGCTGCCCGTGGTCGTCACCGCTCACCGGTTTATAACCAAGAGCTCCACTACCCTCAAAGCAGTCAGTCTGTCCGCTAGCCTCGGCGGTGGATCAGCAGCCGAGCCCGCGGGGCCATGCCAATGTAAACATCGCTTCCATTTGACATGTCTGTGTGGACTGTCATCGGGGAACAGTACGTCATGCAGTAACAACAAGAATTGTAGACGTAGAGAACCAGTAATGACAGAAGCATGCACTGTAAACAATCACAGCATAGGAACTGGTATTGAGTCTTAAAATCTATTTGTTGCAACGTAAACTATATGGCCAAAGGTTTATGGACTGGTGTTTTTATAAAAGAGTTTTTCTAACTTCCCTTTCTCACGGTGCGTTCACATCGGACGGGAAGCGAGGATTCGTCCTGCATCACTCGCGAAAACATCATCTGTGTTTACTCCCGTCACTCAAACTAAACGCACTGGTGTGGAGGCGGGACTTATCTCCATGTAGATATCAACAACAACAACATTAACTTATTTTGCCGTGATTAGTTATTAACTAAATTATCTAACAATAACGAGATACTGATTGAATCAATGCGTTGTGTGTCCGCACGACGGCAGCTCACGTTGCAGCGGCTGCGTCCACACGCCTACAAACCTCACACAGACTGAAAGTAGTGACTTTCCAGCAGTTTTCTCCAGTTTCTGAACAAACACGTTCTGTGAACAAACAGCTGTGAATTGGCATCAATCTGCTTCTTTGCACTGACTTCAGATGTTATCGCAAGACGCACAAATAATGCTTTGCGTCCGGTGTGACCCGCAGCGCAGCAAACCGTGACGCTCTACTGTTCTCTTACTAAACGTGTGGTTATCATTTTGAGTTCTGACAAAAAACAGCGTGAGGTTTAAAGCTTTCCAGTTTGATAACTTGAGTAGCGTTACCATCCAACTCCACAATGAGTTATGGTTTACACACAATGCAGCATGTTCCCTTTAGGACATTTGAGTTCATGCTGATATTATTCAGGTTCTAAAAGCATTCTTTGGACCCGGGCACAGGGTATGTCTCTGTTGGCTTTCTCCAAGCCACTCTTTGCCCGTGTATGGTCAGCTCCGTCTGTTGGACACAAACCAACTACAGATGCATGCCCAAAAACAAAAAGCCAACATTGCTGGTCAAAAGGAGAAACAGAGCTACTTTTAAACATTACCCAAGACTTGGATATCTACAGGTTTTTGGGTTTGCATAAACATCTAAACCCTGACCTTTATATGGAGGCTGTTGAAGGAATGATAGGCTGCCATCGCATGGTCCAACAAGTCCTCCAACAAGTCCTCCAACAAGTCCTCCTCGGCTGGAAAGGGTTTCATAAATGCTATTTTAACAGCAAGATATGACCAGAATACCTCGACTACAAACAAATAGGAATATTGTGTTTTTCAGACTAACGGCAAGTCTATTTGTTTGCATGTAAACAACTTGGATGTGAAACATATTTTAGAGCAGAGCAATATGCCTTTCTTTATGCTGGTGTCTGCGACTTTTGGCCATATAGTGTGTGAGTAATGCTCCATTCAAAAACAAACATACTGAAGCCAATCGAGCTGCTGATCGTCTCCAAGCTTTTGGCATAAATGCTATTTTTCCATTTAATAAAACAACAGATTTTAAGACTGGAAACACGATTCAATGAGTAGTTTAGGTGGTGTCTTGATACCTGTGTTCAATCAGTAGAAAGACTGATGGTGTTGTAGATATAGATCCGGTGGAGGCTTGGGGCTCATCAGGTGATTGGTCGTCGTGATTTTGGGAGAACTGTAGGACATGATATGATCGTTTAGTTGTCCAATCAGACTGTAGTCACCTGGTACTTGTAGTTCAAATAAACCACGTCTGTCCTTTGTCTCTCCTCTACCTCTGTCCACTCTGTCTCGGTCTATTTTCTGCACTTATTAGTTTCTGTGAGACGTCCTGCCGCTCGTCCTCTCTGACAGGAAGCAGCACTAACCCTATTGTACTGACTTTATTCAGATACATTTGAGTCATAAACCTGTCGGGAGAGGAGCGCAGCGTGCAGGGTGTCCGACAGCAGCTGATGGAGTAGAAGGAGTGCATTAGGGTGCTGTTGACTAACATTAGAAACACTGCAGTGACACCTAGTGGCCGACGTGAAGCACAGCAGGAGAGCTGAGAGCCGGGAGGTTAGAGGACACAACATAACTCAAAAAATACAAAGTACATTCATTATGTACATGTTAACAGAAGATAAATACATTAAAGTGATATAAGGGGAAATGTGAGTTGTGTTTTTATCAAGAAATATTAACATTTAGAGCTCACACATATCTATAATTTAACTTTAAATTGGGAACAGGGAAGTCCTCACACAAACATGTGAAATGAAGAAAAGAAAAAACCCTTTAAATGAAATATATGTTCCGACATACAGCTCATACATACGTTCCTAATAAATACATACTATTATATTAGGCTATTATTATATAATTTCACTACATTTTCAAACATGGAAATGTAGTTTTCCTCAAGTCAAACTTACAATTTGACATCTGGAGAGAACTTTATCATTTTCATATATAACCCTTTATTTATAGAGTTTAATATAAAGAATAAGGGTTTTTTGGTTCATTAAATCCTGGAGAAGTGAAGTTTGAGGTGTTAAAAGTGTAATATCCTCATTCCTCATCGTCACCTTCATCACAGCTGAACCTCTCCTGCTGCGCGTCACACCTTCATCACAGCTGAGAAGAAGATGTATTCATCATATGTCATGTGATCCTTCCTCACAGAGGGGCTGTTCTTCAAGGCTTCCTTCCAGGTGGAGGACGGGGCCGAGCTGACCCAGGACCAGCTGGAGAGAGCTGTGGCATTATGGGTAAGAAAATATAGATCTTAAGATTTATATAAAACAGTCTGTCGGTAAAACCAGGACACATTTACAGGATGAAGCCAGTACTCAGATCTGGTACTTAGTGAAAGTAGAAGTACTCAGATCTGGTACTTAGTGAAAGTAGAAGTACTCAGATCTGGTACTTAGTGAAAGTAGAAGTACTCAGATCTGGTACTTAGTGAAAGTAGAAGTACTCAGATCTGGTACTTAGTGAAAGTAGAAGTACTCAGATCTGGTACGTAGTGAAAGTAGAAGTACTCAGATCTGGTACTTAGTGAAAGTAGAAGTACTCAGATCTGGTACTTAGTGAAAGTAGAAGTACTCAGATCTGGTTCTTAGTGAAAGTAGAAGTACTCAGATCTGGTACTTAGTGAAAGTAGAAGTACTCAGATCTGGTACTTAGTGAAAGTAGAAGTACTCAGATCTGGTACTTAGTGAAAGTAGAAGTACTCAGATCTGGTACTTAGTGAAAGTAGAAGTACTCAGATTCTGGTACTTAGTGAAAGTAGAAGTACTCAGATCTGGTACTTAGTGAAAGTAGAAGTACTCAGATCTGGTACTTAGTGAAAGTAGAAGTACTCAGATCTGGTTTACTTAGTGAAAGTAGAAGTACTCAGATCTGTTCTTAGTGAAAGTAGAAGTACTCAGATCTGGTTCTTAGTGAAAGTAGAAGTACTCAGATCTGGTACTTAGTGAAAGTAGAAGTACTCAGATCTGGTTCTTAGTGAAAGTAGAAGTACTCAGATCTGGTACTTAGTGAAAGTAGAAGTACTCAGATCTGGTACTTAGTGAAAGTAGAAGTACTCAGATCTGGTACTTAGTGAAAGTAGAAGTACTCAGATCTGGTACTTAGTGAAAGTAGAAGTACTCAGATCTGGTACTTAGTGAAAGTAGAAGTACTCAGATCTTGTTCTTAGTGAAAGTAGAAGTACTCAGATCTGGTACTTAGTGAAAGTAGAAGTACTCAGATCTGGTACTTAGTGAAAGTAGAAGTACTCAGATCTGGTACTTAGTGAAAAGTAGAAGTACTCAGATCTGGTACTTAGTGAAAGTAAGAAGTACTCAGATCTGGTACTTAGTGAAAGTAGAAGTACTCAGATCTGGTACTTAGTGAAAGTAGAAGTACTCAGATCTGGTACTTAGTGAAAGTAGAAGTACTCAGATCTGGTACTTAGTGAAAGTAGAAGTACTCAGATCTGGTACTTAGTGAAAGTAGAAGTACTCAGATCTGGTACTTAGTGAAAGTAGAAGTACTCAGATCTTGTTCTTAGTGAAAGTAGAAGTACTCAGACCTGGTACTTAGTGAAAGTAGAAGTACTCAGATCTGGTACTTAGTGAAAGTAGAAGTACTCAGATCTGGTACTTAGTGAAAGTAGAAGTACTCAGATCTGGTTCTTAGTGAAAGTAGAAGTACTCAGATCTGGTTCTTAGTGAAAGTAGAAGTACTCAGATCTGGTACTTAGTGAAAGTAGAAGTACTCAGATCTGGTTCTTAGTAAAAGTAGAAGTACTCAGATCTGGTTCTTAGTAAAAGTAGAAGTACTCAGATCTGGTACTTAGTGAAAGTAGAAGTACTCAGATCTGGTTCTTAGTGAAAGTAGAAGTACTCAGATCTGGTTCTTAGTAAAAGTAGAAGTACTCAGATCTGGTACTTAGTGAAAGTAGAAGTACTCAGATCTGGTTCTAGTGAAGTGAGTACTAAGATCTGGTACTTAGTGAAAGTAGAAGTACTCAGATCTGGTACTTAGTGAAAGTAGAAGTACTCAGATCTGGTACTTAGTGAAAGTAGAAGTACTCAGATCTGGTACTTAGTGAAAGTAGAAGTACTCAGATCTGGTTCTTAGTGAAAGTAGAAGTACTCAGATCTGGTTCTTAGTGAAAAGTAGAAGACTACTCAGATCTGGTACTTAGTGGAAAGTAGAAGTACTCAGATCTGGTTACTTAGTGAAAGTAGAAGTACTCAGATCTGGTACTTAGTGAAAGTAGAAGTACTCAGATCTGGTACTTAGTGAAAGTAGAAGTACTCAGATCTGGTACTTAGTGAAAGTAGAAGTACTCAGATCTGGTAACTTAGTGAAAGTAGAAGTACTCAGATCTGGTACTTAGTGAAAGTAGAAGTACTCAGATCTGGTACTTAGTGAAAGTAGAAGTACTCAGATCTTGGTCTTAGTGGAAAGTAGAAGTACTCAGATCTGGTACTTAGTGAAAGTAGAAGTACTCAGATCTGGTACTTAGTGAAAGTAGAAGTACTCAGATCTGGTTCTTAGTGAAAGTAGAAGTACTCAGATCTGGTTCTTAGTAAAAGTAGAAGTACTCAGATCTGGTACTTAGTGAAAGTAGAAGTACTCAGATCTGGTTCTTAGTGAAAGTAGAAGTACTCAGATCTGGTTCTTAGTAAAAGTAGAAGTACTCAGATCTGGTACTTAGTGAAAGTAGAAGTACTCAGATCTGGTTCTTAGTGAAAGTAGAAGTACTCAGATCTGGTACTTAGTGAAAGTAGAAGTACTCAGATCTGGTACTTAGTGAAAGTAGAAGTACTCAGATCTGGTACTTAGTGAAAGTAGAAGTACTCAGATCTGGTACTTAGTGAAAGTAGAAGTACTCAGATCTGGTTCTTAGTGAAAGTAGAAGTACTCAGATCTTGTTCTTAGTAAAAGTAGAAGTACTCAGATCTGGTTCTTAGTGAAAGTAGAAGTACTCAGATCTTGTTCTTAATGAATGTAGAAGTACTCAGATCTGGTTCTTAGTGGAAGTAGAAGTACTCAGATCTTGTAGTAAAAGTAGAAGTACTCGGATATTGTACTTCAGTAAAAGTAGAAGTACCAGAGAGTAGTTTCAGTAAAAGTCCTGCATTCAAAATGTTCCTCAAATAAAAGTAGAAAAGTATTATCATCAAAATACAGTAAAAGTATTCGTTGTGCAGATTGGTAGTAAAGTAAAGTACAAGTAACTCTAAAGTGTACTTAACTACAGGACTTGAGTAAATGTACTCAGTTACTTTACACCTCTGTCACCAACTATAATATTAGTACAGGTGACTGGTAAAGAAGTACTTTAAAGTATACAGAATACTTCCTGTCATGTGACTGGTGTGTTTTGGTGTTGCAGTTAAATCAGACGTTTCAGAACTGGACTCAGGCGGTCTACGTGGACTCCGTCAGGTGAGGGTCCTCTCACCTCACACACACCTCAAACACACCTCACACACACCTCACACACACCTCACACACCCCTCACACACACCTCACACACACCTCACACACCTCACACACACACCCCACACACACCTCACACACACCTCACACACAACCACC